ATATATTGATTTTTTTTTTTAAATTTAAATTTAATCTGGTGATCGCATGACAGAGAATAAAATAGTTACTTCTAACACAAGTGTTTTTTTCTTAAACCCTTTTTCGTGTCAATTCTCCGCAATAAAAGAAACATCTTAGTAAAAGAGAATCAATATTTACATACGGCTCGCTTGGTTCTTTTCTATCCCCTCCGTATTATTTTAAGCATCTGATTTGATAAGTTGTTTTTAGAACTGATAAGTTGTTACGTCGTATTTTTTCTTAATTATTTTTTGAAGTGTGTTTGGGTAATTAAATTATGGGGTGGAAATACTTTCTTTTTTAAAATTATCTTAAAAGCTCTATAACAACTTACTTTTTGAAATGTTTAAATATTTTTTGAAAAAAATTACAAAATACTTTGGAAGGGCTTATAAGTTCGTTTTAAACATCTTATATGCTGTTTATCACGTTTTATTTGATTGGTATATGGTTTAGAAATAAATCAAAACAATTAGGCTTTCAATTTGATGGCTCTACCGCTGCCTATACCATACATAAACTGCAAAATTTAAATCATTTTCGAACTTACGAATCAAATGCCAATCTTGAAATTGAACAGATTTGAAGTGAAATATGATTCTACAAAAATCTTTGAGCAACAAAAAAAGAATCTTCAAAGGAAACAAATAAAATCCCGAATTCCCGATTATCGACCTGCGAGTGACAGTTTTTCTTCCCCACCAAACTTTAAATGTGGGAACAAGATCACGTTCCTGTAGATTCATGTTAAACCCACACGTTAAATATCGAGGGCATAAAAATAATATTGCTGGAGAACCTTAACTCTTTTTCCCATAAAAAAACACGATTCTTCGAGTATTTTTTTTCCGAGTACAATGTACCTTAGCTTACATAGCCAAACAGATATCTAGTGCTCCTCGATATGTCGATACTTTCGTCTACACATTTAATTCTTTGCTTCGCGTGCTAAGTGGAATATGAATACATAGTTTGTAAAAAAAAAGACATTCATTTTACAGACAGCCTCTACAATAGGCTCGATAAAAATACAATACAGAGAGCTCTGTCCCAGGGAAGAATATCCCCTTCTTCGCTGATTACATCGATGAACGAATAATTTATTTTAAATCTGTAACAGCAACATTGCTTCCAAATAGCCCTGATTAAGAAGACAACTCTAGAAGCAAATTTAAATAAACGAGATACGCGCATAAAAGTTTAGTGCATGCTGCGGTTGAGCAATCCCTGAAATGATATATACAGATCTTTATTGTCCGTCCCGAAAATATCTTCTGCTTTTCTTAGTGTCTCCTGAAAAAGTATTTCATGATAAAAAGAGTAAGAGAGATTGATAAAGTATTTAATTTAGGATGTACTCAGTTTTTCTTTTTTATGGTCACCTCTCGAGATTGTCTTTGAGCGTTTAATTCCTTTATATTCGTCAGAAATGCGGTGAACTGCTCAAGCGATAAACGACTCCTAGCTTGACGGAAGAACTCCTTTCCATCAATTCGAGGTGTACGACCTACAATATTTTTATTTTAAATTAGAAATATATAAATAAATTTGGAACACTCGAGCCAGTACCGGAGCATGAATTTGTCTTAACGTGTGTTGGGGGGGGGGGGGGAGGGGCAATATTCACTAAAACTTCTCTAGGGGGCCAACAATACTTCAAATTTTTCATACGATAAGAAATCTTTAAAGAAAATAGTAAGTGCTAAATTAGGGGGGGAAATCGGACGGATCGAAATTGGGACTTGGGGAAGAAATCCATTTTTTTTCGGAAGTGAAAACTAATTCTAATTCCGTTCCAAAAAGAATTGGAAAAATCAGAAACCGGAATTTTGGAAATTGGAGAGAAAAAATTAGTTCCAAATTGGAAATTTGGGATTCGGGACTTTCAAATGCTTAGTCAACAATAAGCTAACATAAAATATATATTGTAAAAATATTGATATTATAAGTGTAATTATTGGAAAATATTCGGAAATTTTGGGAAGAGAAATCGGATTGGAAATTGGAATATAATATGTATTCCATTCCGTTAAAAAAATCGGAGGAACTTTCGGAATTCGCAATGAGAAATATTGTTTTAAAATTGGAAATCCCGTTGCAAGTTCCACCCCTCGGTCATGGAGAGTTCAAAAGTCAAAATCAATTTCGTTTTCATATGAAATAGTGATTTTCCATCAGGTAAAAAATAAAACTGAATTAATTAGTCAAGACATTTACTGACCTGGCTGTGGACGACCCCTAGGAGGAGAGTTAGCAGCTGAAGACTGCTGACTGGACGGGTACCATGACGAAAATGAAAGGGACCCACGCCCATCGTACTGACCTGTAGGAGAAGCAGCTCCCGAGGTTTTCCGAGGAGAGACAGCTGCTGAGTACCTTCTTGGGGAGACACTAGTTGAAATTACTGTTGGAGTTGCATTAGGAGTGAGACGGGGCGTTATATACGGAGTGATGGAAAATCTATGTCCGCCTTGCTTAGTCACTGCACCCGAGAAATAATAATCAGCAAATGTTGTTATTACATACACGACAACCTTGGCACTCGTCACAATCAGACAATATCGATATATAAGTTCGATCATGTACCGTCGTCGTTTGTGCTTGCACTGTCGGTGGACCAGCTATATGAATGATGCTTTGTGTAGCCATTTGAGTCATCTAGAAATATAGAGCCACAAATTAAAACTAAATAAACAACTGCGTAGGACAATAAGAAAACGGAATGTAATAGTTAGGTAAATTCAAATTTATTGTTATAACACGAGATTACCATCGGTGGAATAGGCCTTGGGTGCCTGGTCATAAGTTCCGATATCTACAGTTTGCTGGTGCAATAGAAATTTAAGTTTAGGTTTTAAGATCGGGGCAAATAAAACATTCTTGGTGTTAGACAATGAATTGAAAATAAACGAGTAAAAGTTATGTGCAACCATACAGGTGAATTTTCTTCGTTCAACGACTGCATCAGTTGTCTCTTAAATGTCTCAAGCTGCCAAATGAAAAGAAGTCAGATATTTTCCGGGCAAAGAATGTGTTGGAATCGGAATAAACGAGACATAGGTCAAACTTGAATGAAAACGGATATTAGCTCCATATCGAAATTTTAAATTGCAATTACCAAACATTAGTAGCCACAAGAATACAACTTGAGGAAAACCGAGAAAACGGGGCATCAAACGCAAGCGCAACAAAAAGACCAAACACGAGCACATGATTGTTATAAACTTCAATTCAAATTGTCATGGTTACTATATTAAGTTCAGCAAAGATTCGAAAGGATGAAATGTAACATGGAGAGGATGCAATTAGTATTTGGACCACCAAACATAGTATCAATATACGAACAGAAAATCATATCTTAATTAGTGGAGCTGTTCAGCTCTTTTGTTGTCCAAACTTAAGGAAAAATAATAATTCAACACAAGTATTATTTATTACCTTGGCCAAATCACGAGTCAGCTTCTTTACAGTCATAGCCAAGGAGTCTTTCTCCTTCACCAGATTCTTCTGCAATTCAAAATTATAGTCAAAACCCTAACCTAAAAAACTTCACAAAATTATAAATTAACCCCCAAAAAAAAAGGTTTTTGTAGAAACTAGAAGATACATTATCTTCGCGCGTGATTTTCAATCGCAGCTCGGCGTCTTGATACGCGCCCTCGAGCTGGGAGACCTTGTCCTCGAGCTCGTCAACGAGCCGGTCTTTCTCGACGAGCTTTTGCCGGAGCCTCGCCGACTCGGACTCGAGCTTCGTGACCCGGGACGCGATTGCCATGGACGTTATCTTACGGGCCAGATCCAGCTGGTCGTACGGGTCCGTGGGTATAACCGACAAAATCTCGTCGGGTAGATTAAAGTCCGGCCCGACCCGACTTATGTCGCCGCCACCGCCGCCGTGAGCCATCTGTCGCCGGAGACAAGGATTTAATTCCGACAAACTTGAATTAGGGAAAGATTTAAAGCCTTCTGGACGTCGTCGGAGAGTTCTATGCGGTGGGTGGGTGGGTGGGGTTGATGAATAACGTGACGGAATATATTTTTTAAATATAGGAATTTAATTTATTTATTTATTGGTTTAAATATTAATTTAGGTATATTGGTGAGAAAATGCGTGGAATGCGGTGGGTTTGAAATTTTGGGTTTCCCTCCTCAAAACGGATCCTTTTCCAACGCAATAACTGCCAAAATGGGTTCTCTTTTCCGGGTCGCGTTTGGTCTCCGGGTCGGGCTGTCCTAATCTGTACCAATCGCCGTTCGCCATAAAAGGCTGAATTTAAGACATTAAATATACATCTGTCCGAAATTTAAAAATTTGGCCGAAAATTCCTCACAGTTTTGATCCCTATATTATCTACTTTTTTCGATTCTGGTCCTTAAAATTTTCATGGCGCGAAATTGGTCCTCAAATAACTAGTTTTTTTACAATTTTCGGTCACTATTTGATTTGTGTGTTAACTTTGACGGGAAAAGTACGTGACCATGCGCTTCTACCCCATTTCTTCCCTCTATTTATAATCCTTGAATTTAAAAGGAATGATAATGATAGGTTTTAAAAAGGGGAAAAATAAAATAAAATCGTTATCAATCTCCGATGATTATTCGTTTATATCCAAATTTAGAATATTGCATTTTGTAGCCTTAAAATTCAAATAGCAATCAGTTAGGTATTCTGATAATTACAAAAGGATCCCGTGAAACTTATTTGATTTCATTATTATTAACTTTGTGACAACGTAATAGCTTCTTTTAGGTACTTGACTATTTCCAAGATGTGATCGCGTTCATTTAGATCTGTTGCTTCTGTGAACATAGTAGCTAAATAATCCCATCGCTACGTAAATTAGTTAGACTGCAAAATAACTCATGGAATTGCTTGTAATTATAAATATAGAGTGATTTTTTTTCGTAATTAACTCTTAGCCCAGGGGGCTTTTGTAATTTGCCAATATATATTTTTTTTCTTTTTTTTTTTTTTATAAAATAAATTTGCTTGTCAATTCACGCTTCACAAATTAATTTCGCGTGTTATTAATATCTTATTTTATAAATATATTTATTTAGGTATATAAAGATGCAGGTTAATTCTATTTGTACGACATCTTAAATGTCGTGCCGGTTTCATTTAATGCTATCAACAGTAGCGAAGCTGAATGGAGCCGGCGAAAGTACGAACAATTATGATTTCATCACATTACCTAATCTTTCAACAACTGCCTAATCTTCAACAAATCCCAAAACTTTCTTTATTAAAAACCGAGAGAAAAATCAAAAATCAAGAACAAAAAAAAATCTCACTCTGCGATCAAATGGCGATCTCTGAAATTTTCCTGTTCATCATCATCATCATCATCGTCCTCCCCATGCTTCTCCTCTACGTATGGAGAACCAAAACCCCGGCAAAAACCTCGCTCCCCACGAACTGGCCACTGGTCGGAATGCTGCCGGCGATTCTCCAGAACTGCCACCGTATCCAGCCCTACTTCACCGAGATCCTCACCGAATCCGGCGGCACGTTTCAGCTCAAATTCCCCAGAGTTTTCAACATGGATATGCTCCTCACTTCCCACCCTGCAAACATCCACCATATTTTCAGCAGAAACTTCTCCAACTATCCCAAGGGCCCCGAATTCCGAAAAGTATTCGAAATCCTGGGAGATGGGATTTTCAACGCCGATTTTGAGTTATGGGAGCTTCACCGGAGAACCACTCTCTCATTCTTGAACCACTCAGAGTTCTACGGTTTGTTGGAGAGCTCCGTTTGGGAGAAGGTGGAAACCGGGCTTTTGCCGGTTCTCGATGATTTCTCCGAAAATCGGGCAAGTTTCGATTTCCAAGATGTTTTCCAGAGGTTCGCTTTCGATAGTATTTGTCGGTTGGTGTTGGACCACGATCCGCGGAGCTTGTGCCGGGACTTGCCGTATGTTGCTTCGGAGAAGGCGTTTAACGGTACAACTCAAGCGCTGTTGTATCGGCATCTATTGCCCGAGAGCATTTGGAAGCTCCAACGATGGCTTCGTGTCGGCGAGGAAAGGAAGCTTAGCCAGGCTTGGGAGGCGTTCGACGAATTCATTTACCCGATTATCGACTTCAACGAGAAAAACCCGAAAAGCGATCACAACAACTTGTTAGCGTCTTTCCGAAAGGCGTACGAAGAAAAAAACGGTTCATCGTCGTTGACTAGGGATTTTTTAAGGGACACTGTTTTGAGTTTGATGTTTGCAGGGAGGGACACCACAAGCACTTGTCTCACGTGGTTTTTCTGGCTAGTCGCTACGAACCCGAAAGCCGAAATCGAGATTCTTGAAGAAATCGAGTCGAAATTGATGCGTCAAAAAGACGAGGGCGGCGAGAAATGGAGATTGTTCAATGTCGAAGATTCCCACAAGCTAGTTTACCTACATGGAGCTTTGTGCGAATCTTTGAGGTTGTTCCCTCCGGTGGCGTTGGAGCACAAAGCTCCAATTCAACCCGATAATCTGCCTAGTGGCGATTACGTAAAATCAAATGCGAAAGTGATAGTTTGTTTCTATTCGACCGGAAGAATGGAGTCGGTGTGGGGAAAGGATTGCTTGGAGTTCAAGCCGGAGAGATGGATTTCGGCTAGTGGAGGGATAAAGCACGAGCCTTCTTACAAGTTCCCGGCTTTCAATGCCGGGCCGAGAACTTGTTTGGGCAAACAAATGGCTTTCGTTCAAATGAAAATGTTGGCCGCGACGATCGTATATCATTACAAGATCGAGCTTGTGGAGGGGCATGTCGTCGCTCCTCGCGACTCCGTCATACTTCATGCGAAAAATGGATTGAAGGTCACGTTGTCCAAACGAAATGTCTGATTAATTTCGTCACCGAGAAAGTTCGGTTAGTGCCGAACATATGTTGTAAGATAGCCAGCCGTATGTGTGTTGAATAAAGAGGGCGAGCTGGAGTACTGAAGGTGTTTGAATTAGTTCAAATACCAAGTTGAGTATCTGTGTATTTGTGTGCTTATGAACGGTAAACATCTACAGAGTTGTATTTCACGTCGTGTAGCATAGTATAAGTGTCAGTAGTAACGTTTCGTACTAATAAAAATGTTATTTTGAATACCAGCCCAGTTCATATTTCCTAATTGGGCCCAGCCATTTTCTTTTTATTTATTTTTTTACTTTTTTGTTTCTGGTATTTTTCCAATCAAAGCCCAATGGGCTTTCTAGAAATGCACACTTGAGAGAACAAATGATGAAACGACGACAAAGGAATTACAGTTTTAGTCCCTCAAATTTTGCACCGTTTTCACATTTGGTCGTCCTTGTTCATAAAGAAATAAATTTAGTCTTCGTGTTTCAAATATTCAACACCTTTTAGTCAATTTTCTGTTAGTACCTAACAAAATTAAGCAGGTGCCTCATCACTATCTTAACTGACGGACAAACGGTAAATTGACGAAGAAGACCAATAATATTAAATTGTTGAAACATAAATGACCAAATGCGTTTTTATATAAACATGGAGTGACAAAATATGAGATCGTGCGTGCGTCGAAGGACAGAAACTGTAATTTTTCCACAAGGAAAGGAAACGAGGAACTCGTGTTTCACTTCACTGTGAATTGTACCAGAAAGTGGTCTCCCCTTAGCCATCTTATCTTATGACTTGTGAGAGATGAGTTATGAATTGTACGAGTGGTCCTTTTTCTTATATGTCAATTCATTGCTGTCACATGTTTTGTTTCATGAAAGTTAATGAATTTGGCCAATTTTATTTCTAACCCCCTTCCGATTTGTACCACTCCGATTTATATTTGACATAAAAAACTTCAGACACTGGAAATAGCGTAAATTACCAGATCACCCTAAGGTGGGGTTGAAATTGAATTACCAAAAACCCCAGTAAGTAGTAAATACTATAGTTAACCAAAAGTTTCCACATAAAACATTCAATAGACGAAACAAAATTTTTTTTATTCCACATTTAAAATTTCTAAGATATTTTGGAAGCAAAATTAAGATTAATTATTTACTATTTATGAAAAAACGATGATTGATTATCAGATGTAGCATCTAGAAAACGTTGAGTAGTGACTAGTGAGAGTACAATTCAATAAGGGGCAAAATGCAAGATAAATTCTGTTTGTGGGGTGCAATCTGCTAAAAAAGTATAATTAGAGGGCGTAATATGGCAAAACAGCTTAATTGGAGCAGTGCAATTAGCAAATTACCACATTAACCAAAAAAGAAAAAAAACGTCTTTATCGTAAAAATATTGAAATTCAATCTAGAAAAAATATCCACTCACACAGACCTGTGGTTCTCTCTCTCTCTTTTCCTTTTCTGTAGATAAAGATAAGAATTTTATTTAATTCCCATTAAAATATTATTCAATTAGCAGAAGCCGAGAAAACACCAGTCTGGCTAGCTAGCTAGCTTAGCTCCAACTCCAATGGCGATCTTTGAATACCCCGAGATCTTCTTGTTTCTCTTACCAGCCATGATTCTATTCCTTGTTTGGAGAACTAAAACCCAGAAAAAAACCTCGTTGCCGACGAACTGGCCACTCGTCGGAATGCTGCCGGGGATTCTACAAAACTCCCACCGGATCCACGATTACGCTACAGATATTCTTTCCGAAAGCGGGGGCACTTTTCAGTTCAAATTTCCCGGGGTTTTCAACATGGATATGCTGGTCACCTGCGACCCGGCAAACATCCACCATATCTTCAGCAGAAACTTCTCCAACTATCCAAAGGGCCCCGAGTTCAGGAAGATATTCGAAATCCTGGGGGACGGAATCTTCAACGCCGACTTTGAGTTGTGGGAGCTTCACCGGAGAACCACGCTGGCATTCTTGAACCACACGAAGTTCTACAGCTTGTTGGAGAGCTCCGTTTGGGGGAAGGTGGGAACCGGGCTTTTACCGGTTCTTGATGATTTGATCGCCAAACAAGGCGCTAACAATAGTCATGAAGTTGACTTGCAGGATGTTTTCCAGAGGTTGACTTTTGATAACATTTGCAAGCTCGTGTTGGACTATGATCCCTGCAGCTTGTCCGTCGACATGCCGTATATACCGTCCGAAAAGGCGTTCAACGACGCCGTTGAAGCACTTTTGTACAGGCACGTGCTGCCTGAGAGTGTTTGGAAGCTTCTCAAATGGCTGGAATTAGGTAAAGAGAAGAAGCTTGTCGAAGCTTGGAAGGCGTTCGATGATTTCATATATCCGCTTATCCCTTCGACTTTCGAAGGAGATAAGCGCGATGATCACAACATGTTGGCATGTTTTCGGAAGGCGTACGAAGAGAAATTGTCGAACAAGGGTTTGAGTACTAGTACAACAACAACTAGGGACTTTCTGAGGGACACTGCGTTGAGTTTGATGTTCGCGGGTCGAGATACGACGAGCACTTGTCTCACGTGGCTTTTCTGGCTAATCGCCAAAAACCCTTCAACCGAAACGAAGATTCTTGAAGAAATCGAGATCGAATTCAAGAAATGGAGATTGTTTAGTGTGGAAGAGTCGCGTAGGTTGATTTACCTACACGGGGCTTTGTGCGAGTCTTTGAGGTTGTTCCCTCCGGTGGCGTTGGAGCATAAAGCTCCAATTCAACCCGATAATCTTCCTAGTGGCGATTACGTAAAATCGAATGCGAAAGTGATAGTTTCGTTCTATTCGACCGGGAGAATGGAGTCGGTATGGGGAAAAGATTGCTTGGAGTTCAAGCCGGAGAGATGGATTTCGGCTAGTGGTGGGATAAAGCACGAGCCTTCGTACAAGTTTCCGGCGTTTAATGCCGGACCGAGAACTTGTCTCGGCAAAGAGATGGCGTTCGCACAAATGAAAATGGTGGCGGCTACGATTATATATCGTTACAAGATCGAGCTTTTGGAAGGTGGTGGTTATCCGGTTGTTTCTCCTCGTGACTCCATTATACTACAGGCCAAACATGGATTGAAGGTCAGGTTATCTAGAAGAAATTAATGTCTGATTAATTAAAGAAGCTGTCGAATTTGGTGTGTATTTTTTTTAAATCAAGATTTGGTGTCTTAGCATTGTAAATTATGGTGTGAGAGATTTATAATAATTGTAAGGTCAAATTAGTGACTTTTGAGGTATGCTGAAATTGCGAAAATCCCTGCATGTTATGGTAATTATAACCACCCTTCAATTGTGTCTTACACGTCTGTTCTTATTTTTATTTTTTACTGTGTCAAATTTACCTATTGAATGATGGTTTTTTTTCGTAAGACAATACATAGTTAAGCGTGTAGTTGTGATTATCCAAACAAGAGGGATTTTTTTTGTAATTTTAGCTTATTTCATGGGTGACCTTAATTTGCCCGATATAGTAATGTTTGTGGTCGGTGATTGTGTGGTGTGAAACGTTTGAAGATAAAGGCATATGTGATTGATTGCCTTTTACATCAGTATTTCAATTCTATGAATATATTTGCTTGAGATTTTGAATTCAAGTTCGAAGTGCATTATTACATTTGATTTCATTTGTTAGTATTAAAAATTTAAATTATATTCGTAATTGATATTGTCAGAAAAGCTGATTTGGCATATTGGGCTGGGCCAATATTTCTTACTTTTAGCCCAACCGAAAGTCAAGCCCATGTAACTCAAATTAAGCGGGAAACTCAATCATAATAAAGTTAAGAAATAGTAAAATGGACACAAATTTTGAAAAAAAATAGTAACTCCCAACTTCCCTAAATAATAGTCGTTTTTCAAATTTGTACAAATCTCAAGCAACTTAGTAAATATGTCTTGATTTTAGGAAAATCAGTATTGTTAGACTACACAATGCCCTTATTTATTAATTAATTCAGATAGAGTGTTGAATAGTTAATAAAATGGCACAATACGTAATTAATGCAGCGTTGAAATTGTAAATAAAATTCTCAAAAGTGCCAGATATTGTGAGGCGGAGGTGGTGAAGGGTTCATATCATAATCACAAAGGATCATTGTTTGTCTAGCTAACTATGTTTTGCTGCATTAACTTCCTCAAAAGTATTCACTCATATTTGCCCACTCAAATGTTTTTTGAGCATTTTTTATATTTTTTTTTTCAATAATCCTAATAATTTGCTTATTGTAAAGCACGATAATTCTTTTTTTTTAGTTGTTAAGTAATTTAATTTTATGTATAGCCATTTTTGCATTTGATAAGAATAATGTAATTATGTGTACTAATAATTTATGACATTAGTGAGTACGAAGGGATAATTATAAAGTGGGGAATATGTTAATTAATTAGCAAATATCATTGAAAAATTATGAAATTATGATTTCTACACAACTAATATTCATTAACTATATGATGAGTCATGCAAGAAATTAGTTATATCCAGCCTAAATTGCAGTTCCCTTACCTAAATGTGAGGCATTGCACTTAATTTTTGCCAAACTGCTGCCAATTTTAGATATCGATCGACAAGAAATCGTAAACGTTTTCGTTTATTATAAAGGCAACGAATCGATAACGTGCAAACATATTGTAATTAAACACGAAAAATCCGAATCCAAGCTCTAATGGCCATCTTTGAATACCCTGATCTTTTCTTGTTTATCCTCACCATAATTATTTTACTTTTTGTTTGGCGTACTAAAATCCGGAAAAAAACCTCGTTGCCCACAAACTGGCCACTAGTCGGAATGCTGCCGGCGATTCTTCTGAACTGCCACCGGATACACGCCTATTTTACGGAGATTCTCATTGAATCCGGCGGCACATTTATTCCCCGGGGTTTTCAACATGGATATGTTGGTTACTTGTGACCCTAAAAATATCCACCATATTTTCAGCAGAAACTTCTCGAACTATCCAAAGGGTCCGGAATTCAAGAAGATGTTCGAAATCTTGGGAGATGGGATTTTCAACGCCGATTTTGAATTGTGGGAGCTTCACCGAAGAACCACTCTCTCGTTCTTGAACCATACGAAGTTTTACGACTTGTTGGAGCGTTCTATTTGGGAGAAGGTGGAAACCGGGCTTTTGCCGGTTCTTGACGATTTTTCGGAACAAGGGATTGATTTTGATTTACAAGATATATTTCAAAGGTTCACTTTCGATAGTATCTGTAATTTGGTGTTAGATTACGATCCATGCAGCTTGTGCGTCGACATGCCACTTATTCCATGCGAGAAGGCGTTTAACGACGCCATCGAAGCCCTATTGTACAGGCATGTGCTGCCGGAGAGCATATGGAAGCTGCAAAAATGGCTGAGAATTGGTAAAGAAGGGAAGCTTATCGAAGCTTGGAAGGCGTTCGACGAATTCATATATCCGTTAATTAAGGAGGGAGAGCGTAAAAAAGACGACGATTATAGCTTGTTAGCATCATTTCGAAAGGCCTACGTTGTCAAAGATTTGAACAATGAAAATAGACGGCGAGTGCCTGATCAAATTGATCAGGTCATGTAGGAACAAGGTTCAAGTCTACCGGTCTGTTAGGATGCGAAGAAAAAACAATTATTAATAATGGTAATTGTTTTAGTGGTGGTTCGAGAACTACGACTAGTGATTTTTTAAGGGACACTACGTTGAGTTTGATGTTCGCGGGTAGAGATACAACAAGCACTTGTCTCACGTGGCTTTTCTGGCTAATCGCCACAAACCCTTCAACCGAAATGAAGATTCTTGAAGAAATCGAGGCCGAATTCAAGAAATGGAGATCGTTCAATGTGGAAGAGTCGCGTAGGTTGATTTACCTACACGGGGCTTTGTGCGAGTCTTTGAGGCTGTTCCCTCCTGTGGCATTGGAGCATAAAGCTCCGATTGAACCCGATAATCTGCCAAGTGGCGAATACATAAAATCGAATGCGAAAGTGATAGTTTCGTTCTATTCGACGGGAAGAATGGAGTCGGTATGGGGAAACGATTGCTCGGAGTTCAAGCCAGAGAGATGGATTTCGGATAGTGGTTTGATAAAACACGAGCCTTCTTACAAGTTTCCGGCATTTAATGCCGGACCGAGAACTTGTGTCGGCAAAGAAATGGCTTTTGTATATGGTGGCAGCTACAATCATATATCGTTACAAGATTCAGCTTGTGGAGGGTAATGATGTAATTTCTCCACGTGACTCTATCATACTTCAGGCAAAGCATGGATTGAAGGTCACGTTATCCAAAAGAAATGCCAAACTAACTAATTAATTAATTAATTAGGGGAAATGAGGGATAACTCCCTAGTTTTGAAAATATATAGGGAAAGGTCCTAAGGATTTTTCTTTGCTAGTCAAAAACCCAAATTTTAATCTTAATTTGATAGACCTCCCTAGACAAATTGAAATACCAGTTTTACCCTTTTAGTTACAATTTAAAACCTTAAATTTCACCAACTCTCCTTAATTTCTCTCTCCCTTCCCACGGCCGTTTTCTTTTCTCTCTCTCTCTCCCACGCTTCTCTTCTCTCTCTCTCAAAATTCTTGTTCTCTTATCTCTCACCTCCCACCGTCGCTTCTCCGCTTCCCCGCCTTCTCCGTCGCTCTGCTTCTCCGCCGCTCCGCCTTCTCCGTCACTTCGCCTTCTCCGCTGCTCTGCCGCTCTGCCGTGCTCCGTCGTGCTCTGTTGCTCCGTGGTGCTCCGCCGTGCTCCGCTGCTCTGCCGTGCTCCGCTGCTCCGTTGCCGGCCGTCGTTGCTCCTCCCACCGTCTTGAACTCGGTACTAATTCACTTCACTTTTTTTAAGTTATTTTTTTAATTTATGAATGCCAATCCATTTTTAATTTATTTTTCGAAGATCTGAATTCTTATCACTATTTCACCTTATTTTATTATTTTTTTTATGAAACAAACTGAATTCGAAATTTTTAAATTGTGTAAGATCTAATAGTGAATTTTAGATCTCGAATTGGTGGTTTTCGATTCGTATATATTTACTGTATTTATTTAAAAAAAAACCAGATCTACTATGTTTTTGAAGATCTATGAACAATTAATATTAAAATATTTTTCTTTGGATTAATTTAATTTTTTATTATAAATCATATGTAATTTAATTTTTGTATTTATTTGAAGATGATTCGAAATGCCTAAAATGTGAGAGCTTTGTTTTTGTATAATGAAAATTTAACCAGTAGTGGTTACTTACATTGGTGATTTGAGTCAGGTGAATATACAGTTATATTTAGTCATATACAGTCATATATAGTCAGTCACATGTAGTCATGTATAGTCATGACTACATGTAACTATACATGACTATATATAGGACTTGTAGTATAATATAGTCATTTGTAGTCGATTTTAGTTCAGTAAATTTATCAACAAAAACAATCATGTTTTTTTTGTATTTTTTATGTAATTTGATTTTTTATTATAAATCATATATAATTTTTTTTTTTGTATTTATTTGAAGATGATTTGAAATGCCTAATGTGTGAGAGCTTTGTTTGTCTGTAATAGAAATTTAACCAGTAGTGGTTATTTACATGAGTGATTTGAGTCAGGTGAATATACAGTTCTATTTAGTCATATACAGTCATATATAGTCAGTCACATGTAGTCATGTATAGTCATGACTACATGTAACTATACATGACTATATATAGGACTTGTAGTCTACTATAGTCATTTGTAGTCGATTTTAGTTCAGTAAATTTATCAACAAAAAAATCATGTTTTTTTTGTATTTTTCATGTAATCTAACTCGCATGTTCCATTTTGCTATTTAACTCGTATTTTTTTTGTCGCAGGTTTTGCTTTTATTATAGTTTTATGACATGCATAGACTAAAATTCGATGAAGTGCCTTTGTGAAGTTGGATTCATGCTACAGTACTCCAGACTTATGCCACTTATATAACTATAGATAATTGTATATAACTATAGTCACGTGTAGTAACATATATTTATATGTATGTTATGTGTTTTTTAATGTATAGTAATGTGTGTTCATGTTTTGAAGATTATATGCATGTGATTGTGTTTTTTTCATTTTTTTTGGGTTAGTTGATTTATAATATCAAGATTAAATTGTGAATTTTGTTGTTTGTTTAAATTAATTTTGGGGTAAAAAGACAGTACATGATTACATATAACTATACATGACTGTGGTATACTATAGTCATATATAGTCAATTCAGTACAGTAAATTTATCAAAAAAAAAATAAAAAAATTAAAATATTAAAAATTACAAAATTAAAAAAAAAATAAAAAAAAATAAAAAAATAAAAAAAATTAAAAAAGTTAAAAAAATTAAAAAAAAAATTAAAAAATTAAAAAAATTAAAAAAATAAAAAA